CCTAGCAGTTCGAAAGCACGTAAAAAATGCAAGTAGACAAATAGGGACCATCTTTGATGGGAAGGTAACAGCATTCCGTGCACCTTCAGAGTTTAGTCATGCTAGCCACATGACCACGGAGACGTCTTCAGACAGCACTGGCTCTTCGGCTTTGAAATGGAGATGTGCACCACCCTCTAGAGTCGAGAACGACTAGCACATATGTGCGAGGGGACCCTTTGCCTTTACCTTTACCTTATCCTTACTTCTGGCTGGAAAAAGCACCGAAGAAAATTCCACACAGAAGAAGAGTGAAGTGTATTTGAGCACCAAATGTCACTTAAAAGTTTCTGTTGTTGTGATCTACTCTTGACTGTTGCCCACTTAGTGCAATGTTGTACTTCAGGTTCTTAACTTTTTTCTGGTTGTCACTTCTATTTGCCTTTCTCACAACTTTGAATTAATTGCACTTAATGTTCTCTGAAACAGCTCTGCCGAAGAAGTAGTAATGTCTTGAGTAAAATGGGCCTGAAATTACCTGTCAAGTATTCTCTATTTTATAAGATATTAATGGATGGATTAGCTGGATAGAGGAAAGTACTGTAATTGTTGAATCCTTCCTGAGTGAACCCAATTACGGCCGCATTAGCCCTTGAAATATCTACCATATTTTTCGGAGTATAAGATGCACTGAAGTATAAAAGGCACCAAGGTTTCGAAGAGGCAATTTTTTTTAAAAAAAAGTAGGTAGGTAGGTAGGTAGGTAGGTAGGTAGGTAGGGGAATAGAGAGGGAGGGAGAGAGAAATACAGTAGGTAGGTAGAGAGAAGGTAGGTAGAGGGATAAAGAGAGAGAGGAAAAAATACAGTAGGTAGGTAGGGAGAGAGAGAGAGAGTTAGTAGGTTGGTAGGTAGTTATTTCCAGGTGTATTTATCCATGTGCTGGAGAAGGAAATAGCTGACAACCTGCAGCGCCTGTTTCAGCTGGCACAGCACTTGATCAATGTAATTCTCATCAATCACTCTAACTACCTTCTCTCTA